CAAAGGCTGTGTGAAGTTGCTCAATATTGGCAGAACTGGAACACATTGAACTGGAACACGTTGTCGTACACGTCGATCCAGAGCATCCCAAACAGGCTCAATGGGTGACATGTCTGGTGAGTATGCAGGCCATGGAAGAACTGGGACATTTTCAGCTTCCAGGAATTGTGTAAAGATCCTTGCGACATGGGGTCGTGCATTATCATGCTGAAACATGAGGTGATGGTGGCGGATGAATGGCACGACAATGGGCCTCAGGATCTCGTCACGGTATCTCTGTGCATTAAAATTGCCATCGATAAAATGCAATTGTGTTCGTTGTCCGTAGCTTAAACCCTCCCATATTATAACCCTTCTGCCACCTTGGGGTACTCTGTTCAAAACGTTGACATCAGCAAACCGCTCGCCCACACGACACCATACATGTGGTCTGTGGTTGTGAGGCAGGTTGGACATACTGCCAAATTCTCTAAAATGACGATGGAGGTGGCTTATGGTAGAGAAATTAACATTAAGTTCTCTAGCAACAGCTCTGGTGGACATTCCTGCAATCAGTATGCCAATTGCACGCTCCCTCAAAACTTGAGACATCTGTGGCATTGTGTTGTGTGACAAAACTGCACATTTTAGAGTGGCCTTTTATTGTCCCCAGCACAAGGTGCACCTGTGTAATGATCATGCTGTTGAATCAGCTTCTTGACATGCCACACCTGTCAGGTGGATGGATTAGCAGGGCAAAGGAGAAATACTCGCTAACAGAGATGTAAACAAATTTGTGCACAAACTTTGAGAGAAATAAGCTTTTTGTGCGTATTGAACATTTCTGGGATAGTTTATTTCAGCTCATGAAACATGGGACCAACACTTTACATGTAGCGTTTATATTTTTGTTCAGTATATATGGTAGTGTCTATAATGTTACCGCGTCAGGATGGCAGGTATTTATTTATAGGGTAGTGTCATAATGTTACCTCATCAGCTTAGCGTCATGTCTCTCTTCCTCATTTCCTATTAGCAAGTGTGCAGAATTTAATTCACCTATTCACTTCAGCCTATGAGCATGGCACACTAAGGTAATTCCACCACAGTTGTGCAATAATCACTATCCTTTCTTTTAACCAATGGGCATGAATCTAGGGGAGTATTTATATGTCTACTCAAAACGTGTGTCCCACTTGTTGTTTTGCAGCAACAGTCTTTCACTGACCTTCCACCTCCCCACCACCACCAGCATAATAACCTTAAGGACCATCATTGGAACTCCTTCCCCCAGCGGGGGGTTTCAATGCCAGCTGCCCAGCATAGGGCAACCTGTCATCAGCATCTGTCTCTGAGGAGCATTCCTCAGACGATGCCTACCCTAAACTATCCAATAAAATTCCTTATTATATTCCGTCTCTGTTGTCATTCAGTCAAGCCTGTACTCGACTGAAGTGCTGCTTGAGCATTCGGAAAGTATTCAGACCCCTTGACTTTTTCCACATTTTGTTACGTTACAGCCTTATTCTAAAATTGATTAAATTGTTTGTTTTTTCTCATCAATCTACACACAATACCCTATAATAACAAAGCAAAAACAGGTTTTTAGAAATGTTTGCAAAAGTATAAAATAAAATTAACGGAAATATCACATTTACATAAGTATTCAGACCCTTTACTCAGTACGTTGTTGAAGCACATTTGGCAGCGATTACAACATCGAGTCTTCTTTGGTATGACGCTACAAGCTTGGCACACCTGTATTTGGGGAGTTTCTCCCATTCTTCTCTACATATCCTCTCAAGCTCTGTCAGGTTGGATGGGGAGCATCGCTGCACAGCTATTTTCAGGTCTCTCCAGATATATATGGGCCACTCAAGGACATTCAGAGACTTGTCCCAAAACCAGTCCTGCATTGTCTTGGTTGTGTGCTTAGGGTCGTTGTCCTGTTGGAAGGTGAACCTTCGCCCCAGTCTGAGGTCCTGAGCAGTTTTTCATCAAGAATCTCTCTGTACTTTGCTCCGTTCATCATCCCCTCGATCCTGACTAGTCTCCCAGTCCCTGCCGCTGAAAAATATACCCACAGCATGATGCTGCCACCACCATGCTTACCGTAGGGATGGTGCCAGGTTTCCTCCAGACGTGACGCTTCGCATTCAGGCCAAAGAGTTCAATCTTGGTTTCATTAGATAAGAGAATCTTGTTTCTCATGGTCTGAGAGTCTTTAGGTGCCTTTTGGCAAACTCCATTACTGAGGAGTGGCTTCTGTCTGGCCATTCTAACATAAAGGCCTGATTGGTGGAGTGCTGCAGAGATGGCTGTCCTTCTGAAAGGTTCTTCCATCTCCAGAGGAACTCTGGAGCTCTGTCAGAGTGACCATCTGGTTCTTGGTCACCTCCCTGACCAAGGCCCTTCTCCCACGATTGCTCCGTTTGGCCAAACTTCTTCCAATAAAGAATGATGGAGGCCACTGTGTTCTTGGGGACCGTCAAGGCTGCAGACATTTTTTGGTACCCTTCCCCAGATATGTGCCTCGACACAATCCTGTCTCGGAGCTCTAAGAACAATTTCTTCGACCTCATGGCTTGGCTTTTGCTCCGACATGCACTGTCAAATGTGGGACCTTATATAGACAGGTGTGTGCCTTTCCAAATCATGTCCAATCAATTGAATTTACCACTGGCGAACTCAAATCAAGTTGTAGAAACATGTCAAGGATGATCAATGGAAACAGGATCCACCTGAGCTCAATTTCGATTCACATAGCAAAGGGTCTGAATACTTATGACAGCAAAGGGACCTCTCACGACCCTACAGGAAAGGTGAGAAATCCATATCTACATTTAAACCAGGGTACTTAGTGGCCTGTAGTTTGAAAATCCCAAAACTTTCCCTTTGGTTTAGCTGTTTACCCCCCCCCCAGAATAGAGTAGAACAAAAACACATGCCTAACTTTCATGTCTTTACAGGTGACAGCTGTATTCATAATTACCACAACTGCCAATGACAATCCAGAAATTGTATACAAAAATATGAGTTAAGTCACTGCATTTATTGAACACTTTCAACCAAAAGTAACATTTTGTACAAATCTTAGTCAATAGAAATGCATAAATAGGAAGAAGATCTGAAGATCTTCCAGGGGTTGAATGGAAGCGGTGATGATTCAATTGCACAGTTCACATTACCTAGAGGTGGACAGATAATGGGGAAATGGTTAGTACAACACCGAATATAGTGATTATTCAACTGCTCCCAATAACTTGCTCAGCGCATGTGTATAATCACTAGGATTCAGGTGAAACACGGATCATGCAACAAAATCATCATTGTAAGGTTAATGAAAGGTTTATGTTTAAGGAGCAGAACATTTGATCGTTACCTGATTTTCCACAACAGCAAGATTTGAGTTTAGATTATCTAGTGACAAAAAACGATTCAGTTAGCTATAAAGTAACATTTTCACAAGTGTAAAACGTTGCCATAGACAGTCAACCCAGTCAGTGCAGTGAAAGTATAATCACGAGATTCAGCTGAAACACGGACTCACATGCAAATCATCACTTTGGGTTTGAAGATACAAAATGTGCAAGGGGTCACAGGTAGAGCTGTAATAGTACGCTGGTACCAAGCTAAATGGCTAGTCCTCGGAGCCACATTCCCTCCACTTCAAAAAAGTACGTTTGGGGACATTGCCATCGTGGTTCAAATGGAACCAGTTCGACTGTGCCTCAGCCACAAAACGCATCTGGTTAGCGGCTGTACAGTAGAGGCCCAACACCTGTTCACTGTTTAAGGGCCTAAGGCACTCGAATTAGTGGCTAAAAAGAACTTGAGCCAACTAGGCCTAACCGACCCAGACAAAATATCACAAATGTCATGAAGAAAATGTTTGAGATGCTTACCGTAGCCAAGGCTTTTGAGTTGTCGGTTTATTGCACCAGCTTGGATTTAAATAAAAAAAGTCGGATAAAAACCTAAACGTAACTAAATATATTTTAGGCTGCCCTAAAGCTAGCCTGACAAGCTAGCCACCACAATGACTTAGCAGCCAACTGCTAGCAAGTAACCTAAAACTGAGTTACACTCAAATACTATTATCTAATAAAAACTACAAATAACTTCCTCCCCACATTAATCAATTGACAGCTTATGCGCACTTAGAAAAAATATCGTCAACTTGCTTTGTCTCAAACGCCATTCCTCCAACCGCACGCAGTAGGTGAGAAAGACGGATTGAGCGGACAAGGGGCGCATTTATCTGTTTTCTAAACCACGTGTTGTAGTGGGAAACACGCATGTTGCCTCCGGTGTGGTACCCCCCCCTCCAAAAAAAAAAATTTTATATTTATTTTAGTTCCGCGTGGAATGAATAAATGCTGAAAAACTTAAGCCGTGAAAGATCAATACTGAGTTTGACAAGATGTAATATAATATAATAACTTTCCCCTTCAATCTGGATATCTGAGAATACAACAAGTCACACTTTCTCAGCGGAAATAATGTACCCTTGTGCAGTGCTTGACTTAGACAGGAGCTCACCGGAGCTGAGTACTGGCACTTCAAATGTTATACTGTTTAAGGTCATGTTCCTCTTATAAAACATAAGCTCAAAGGTATTGTGGAGCTCCTGAACCTTAATGTAAACAATACCGGCACCCAAAATGAGTACTGGCACCTATTTCAGTCCAAATCAATAATTTGGGATCAAACTATTATGTTGTTATCATACAAACAAAATGTTTTCATAACAAACATTTGTTCCATCAATCTGATATTGATTTATAAAGGCCAATTGACTCACAAATCAATAACTTATTGATAACTGATCTAGTATATCCATATTTTCTAAACATGCATTTTATGTCTAAAATTATTGCCATTTATTTAAAGTGTTGCTGGAAATACATTGCGTTTTCTAGCTCCGCTTGTAAGCATAATACAAGATAGTGATTTAATAATTGGATTCAATGTAAAGCAAGTTATTTTCCTTACCTCACAAAAATGGAGAAAGGCTCTGTCCAGTCCAGTTTGGCATGTGACATATCTACGGGAACCCGTTGGATAAATTGTTCTGCGTATGCGTGCCAATCTGAGTTGGTGTACTGTGCAGAATCAACACAGGACAGCAGAATTCCAACCTTGGAACTGGAAATTGTGTGGAATGAGAGTGTTAATAGGTATGTATAAATGTATATGTCAGACATGATCTTCAATAGCGTACTTAGTAACTTGTAACTGAGTGCTACATTGGACGTATACTATTAGCTAGCTACATAAATAGTTATCAAACATGCATTCTGTGGTCCCAGTTTCATGTCATGTGTGCGGTAACTTTAGAGAAACCACTTCAGTTTTGGTAAACTAAGGACATTTCGTTCACATTTAAAAAAACACTTGTAAATGTAGCCAGTAACCTTGTTTTGTAACTGAGCAAAGTGCGCATGCGCGTCAATATGACGGTTCTTTCAACGCTTATCTTTTTTTTATTTTTTATTTAACCTTTATTTAACTAGGCAAGTCAGTTAAGAACAAATTCTTATTTACAATGACGGCTTACCCCGGCCAAACCCTCCCCTAACCCGGACGACGCTGGGCGAATTGTGCACCGCCCAATGGGACTCCATATTACATTTACATTACATTTTAGTCATTTAGCAGACGCTCTTATCCAGAGCGACTTACAGTTAGTGAATATATATATATTTATACTGGCCCCCCGTGGGAATCAAACCCACAACTCTGGCGTTGCAAACGCCATGCTCTATCAACTGAGCTACATCCCTGCCGGCCATTCCCTCCCCTACCCTGGACGACGCTGGGCCAATTGTGCGCCGCCCATGAGTCTCCCAGTCGCGGCCGGCTGCGACAGAGCCTGGATTCGAACCAGGATCTCTAGTGGCGCAGTGGTCTAAGGCACTGCTTTGCAGTGCTAACTGTGCCACTAGAGATCCTGGTGCCTTAGACCACTGCGCCACTCAGGAGCAGTGATGCCTTTAGCACTAAAATGCAGTGCTTTAGGCCGCTGCGCCACTTGGGAGCCTAAAACTAAAGTTATCTGTGTTGCTTGGTGAGCTAAGATTCTTATGCCTAGAGTAATTGCTGGTTGCTTATACAGGATCTAGAGTTTTATTCATATTATCATCCAAATGTCTAGCATAGTCTGTTTTGGACTGTGAAAAATACAAATTTAATAACAGCAGTTTCCCTAATTGAATCCAGTGGTTGTCAAACCTGTTCCATGTATTTGATGTATTCCAGAGCTAGCATACCTGATTGAACTTGTCAACTAATCATCAAGCCCTTGACTAGGTGAATTAGGTGAGCTAGTTCAGGGCTACAACAAAATTGTGAAACATCTAGGGGTCCCCAAGAAGACGTTTGAGAACCACTGATCTAATCAATCCAGTGAGCTTGTACTTCTCCTGGCTTGTAATATTGTTCTATTCTCTCTGCCTTTTATTTTAATCAGGAGGAGGATCTGGGTTTGTGGGTAGAGAGCTGACCCGTTTACTCAAGAACAAAGGTCATGAAGTCACAATAATATCTCGACAGCCAGGTCCGGGAAAGATCACATGGGTATGATTATGACCTGACCTTTGCAACTAGTCAGTGGCATCATTTTATAGCATTTTCATGGGCAGAGCACGCACTGAAATAATTGTAATGAATTTTCCTTTAGTACTATAATACAAGTATTCCTCACTCCTACAGAGTAACCATTCTTTATATTAGCAACCATACCTGAAATATGTATGCATGAATGACTGTATGTCGCTTTGGATAAAAGCATCTGCTAAATGGCATTTATTATTAAAGTTATTATCTATTGGAATCTTTCATGTTGACACCCAAACATAACACATGGTGTTACCTAATAAACAATAAATAAAAAGCTATCGCATGCCCTTTTTGCAGGGTGATCTGGAGTCTGGTGGCCTCCCACCATGTGAGGGCGCTGTCAACCTGTCTGGAGAGAACCTTATGAACCCACTGCGATGGTGAGCAACGGAGTCCTCATTACTTGGGGCCCTGTGTTTTGGTTAATCATGTCACATGACCTGGATTTTAACCTTTTTTAAGCCTTTTCCAGTAATGAGAATTAGACCAAAAATGAAAGCAATAGTCTTAGGATGGTGCTGGACCATCAGATTTTATTTGTCACGTGGCAAATCCAACGGTTGTAGACTACCGTGAAATGTTTGCTTATGAGCCCTTCCCAACAATGCAGAGTAAAATACAAAATTAGAATTGTAACAAAAGAGGAATAAAATACACAAGCATGGCGCTATATACAGGGAGTACCAGTACCAGATCAATGTGCAAGGGTAAGAGGGATTTGAGGTAGGTATGTACATAAAGGCAGGATAAAGTGACTAGGGATCAGGATAGAGAATAATAATAATAATAAGAGTAAGAATAAAAAACAGAGTAGCAGCAGCATAAGATGAGTGTAAAAGTGTGTGTGTTGTGTTGGTATGTGTCAGTGTAGTATGTGTGAGTGTGTGTGTGTATATAGTGCGTATATATAGTATTGTGAGTATGCATAGAGTCATTGCAAGATGGTTAGTTAATTAAATGGTTACAAGGACTATTTAGGAGTCTTGTGGCTTGGGGGTAGAAGCTGTCTCGGAGCCTGTTGGTCCGAGAGCCGATGCTCCAGGACCATTTGCTGGATGGTAGCAGAGTGAACAGTCTTTGGCTTGGGTGGCTGAAGTCTTTGTCAATTTTTCAGGCCTTCTTCTGACACCACCTGATATAGAGGTCCTGGATTTCAGGGAGCTTGGCCCTAGTGATGTACTGGGCCGTCTGCACCACCCTCTGTAGTGCTTTGCGGTCAAGGGCGGTGCATTTGCCATACCAAGTGGTGATGTAGTGAATCAATATGCTCTCTGGTGCAGCTGTAGAACTTGAGGATCCGAGGCCCTATCTGACATAAAAAGGGGACAGTTTGATGAAAAACGCTTTAAATACAGGTTAATATCTAGGTCATGTGACATGGTTAACCAAAACACAGGGCCCTACAATTATGTATTTATATTCATCATGGACTGGACTCTCTTTCCATACCACTCTTTGCCTCCCTCTCTCTCTTTTCTTTCTGTTTGTCCCTCTCAACCATAAAGCAATCTGCCCCCCCCCCTCTCATTGGTTCTCCCTCCTCTCCATGTTGGTACAGGTGGAATGAGGGTTATAGGAAGGATCTGTTCTCCAGTCGGGTTGACACAACCACAATTCTGGCTCAAGCCATTGCTGGGTCCCCCAGTCCCCCTCGTGCTTGGGTCCTTGTCACAGGTGTAGGTAAGTGTCCTAGGTTCCTTGCATAAAGTTTACATTTACATTTACATTTTAGTCATTTAGCAGACGCTCTTATCCAGAGCGACTTACAGTTAGTGAATACATATATATATTTTTTTATACTGGCCCCCCGTGGGAATCGAACCCACAACCCTGGCGTTGCAAACGCCATGCTCTATCAACTGAGCTACATCCCTGCCGGCCATTCCCTCCCCTACCCTGGACGACGCTGGGCCAATTGTGCGCCGCCCATGAGTCTCCCGGTCGCGGCCGGCTGCGACAGAGCCTGGATTCGAACCAGGATCTCTAGTGGCACAGTCAGCACTGCGATGCAGTGCCTTAGACCACTGTGCCACTCAGGAGACCCACTCAGTTTAAATGACACTCACAACATCCTTAGATACTCACAAAACCCACTGAGTTACAATATTTTTACCATAATTGCTGGTTTGTTTGTCTCTGCCCCACAGCATGTTACAAACCCAGTCTAACAGCTCAGTACACAGAAGACAGTGAGTGGACGCCGTTTGACCTCCTGTCAAGACTGGTGAAGGAATGGGAGTGGGCGGGGCGTCTTCCTGAAACCATTGCACAGAATACCAGACAAGTAGTAATCAGACCAGGTGAGTACTATACATTTATTATCAGAGTGTGTGTATGTGAGTTAGATACAAATGGACAATGTTAATATGAATACGGTCCATTGAATGAGATGGCAGTCTTTTGAGATTTCACCATTGATATCTCCTGCTCTACTGCCTTCCTCCACCAGGGGTAGTACTGGGCCGTGATGGTGGTGCCATGAAGCAGATGATGACTCCTTTCTGGCTAGGCCTTGGAGGCACGTTGGGGTCTGGCAGACAACCATTCCCCTGGATCCATGTCTCTGACCTGGCTGGAATCATCGCTCATGCCCTGGAGCCCTCTCCCAACACCCCCTCCTCTGCTGTCCCTCAAGTGTATAACGGTGTCGCCCCTGCACTGAACACCAATTACGAGTTCACCAAAGAGCTGGGCCGGGTTCTGAGGAGACCCACGGTCTTCCCTGTGCCTGGATTTGTCATTGATGCCCTAATGGGTTCAGAGAGAGCTGTAGTGCTAACCCAGGGTCAGAAAGTAGAACCAAAGAGGACTCTGGAGTCAGGCTTTCAGTACCAGTACCCAGACCTGAACTCTGCCCTGAGGGAGATTGTTGGGAGTTAATGTGAAACAGGAGACCTAAGGAGATGTCAAGAGACTGATGAGATTAGATTGTGACCTTTTTTCCTAAATAAATATAAAATGGACCCTGTTGTCTTCCAAATAAATGTTGTCCACTGCAAGAAAGGAATTTGTGTGTGTATAATATATAGAGATATACGGTATCTCACAAAAGTGAGTACACCCCTCACATTCTTGTAAATATTTGAGTATATATTTTCATGTGACAACACTGACGAAATGACACTTTGCTACAATGTAAAGTAGTGAGTGTACAGCTTGTATAACAGTGTAAATGTGCTGTCCCCTCAATAACACTACACACAGCCATTAATGTCTAAACCGCTGGCAACAAGTGAGTACACCCCTAAGTGAAAATGTCCAAATTGGGCCCAAAGTGTCAATATTGTGTGGCCGCCATCATTTTCCAGCGCTGCCTTAACCCTCTTGGGCATGGAGTTCACCAGAGCGTCACAGGTTGCCACTGGAGTCCTCTTTCACTCCTCCATGACGACATCACGGAGCTGGTGGATGTCAGAGACCTTGCACTCCTCCACCTTCCATTTGAGGATGCCACACAGATGCTCAATAGGGATTAGGTCTGGAGACATGCTTGGCCAGTCCATCACCTTTACCCTCAGCTTCTTTAGCAAGGCAGTGGTCGTCTTGGAGGTGTGTTTGGGGTCGTTATCATGTTGGAATACTGCCCTGCGGTCCAGTCTCCGAAGGGAGGGGATCATGCTCTGCTTCTGTATGTCACAGTACATGTTGGCATTCATGGTTCCATCAATGAACTGTAGCTCCCCAGTGCCGGCAGCACTCATGCAGCCCCAGACCATGACACTCCCACCACCATGCTTGACTGTGTCGTGTCACGTCTGCTGCTGGTGGCTATTGCTGTCAACCAAAGAGTCTGCTTAAGCTGCACCGTGTTCAAAGGCTTTTATTAAAATCACGAGGTTACAGCATAAGTTACAGACACGCGAAGTCTGGAGAAGCTCCGTTTCCCAAATGAATCTTGAATGCTTCTGCCCCTCTTCGTTTTTCCCCCAGTATATATAAACTCCCAAGATGTGGGTGGCTCCCTCTACTGTCCAATCCCCGTGTCTACAACACACTTCCTGTCTGTTGTATGTGGCGTTACACTAAAACATTCCCTCTTGATACTAAAATCCACATTCTTTCAGTTCCACTTAAAAACATTTAACAACAGCATAACCCCAATACACGACAACTGTAGGCAAGAAACACTTGTCTTTGTACTCCTCACCTGGTTGCCGCCACACACGCTTGACACCATCTGAACCAAATACGTTTATCTTGGTCTCATCAGACCACAGGACATAGTTCCAGTAATCCATGTCCTTAGTCTGCTTGTCTTCAGCAAACTGTTTGCGGGCTTTCTTGTGCATCATCTTTAGAAGAGGCTTCCTTCTGGGACGACAGCCATGCAGACCAATTTGATGCAGTGTGCGGCGTATGGTCTGAGCACTGACAGGCTGACCCCCCACCCCTTCAACCTCTGCAGCAATGCTGGCAGCACTCGTACATCTATTTCCCAAAGACAACCTCTGGATATGACGCTGAGCATGTGCACTCAACTTCTTTGTGGAACCTGTCCTGTTAAACCGCTGTATAGTCTTGGCCACCGTGCTGCAGCTCAGTTTCAGGGTCTTGGCAATCTTCTTATAGCCCAGGCCATCTTTATGTAGAGCAACAATTCTTTTTTTCAGGTCCTCAGAGAGATCTTTGCCATGAGGTGCCATGTTGAACTTGAGGGAGTGTGAGAGCGATGACACCAAATGTAACACACCTGCTCACCATTCACACCTGAGACCTTGTAACACTAACAAGTCACATGAAACCGGGGAGGGAAAATGGCTAATTGGGCCCAATGTGTACTCACGTTTGTTGCCAGCGCTTTAGACATTAATGGCTGTGTGTTGTGTTATTTTGAGGGGACAGCAAATGTACACTGTTATACAAGCTGTACACTCACTACTTTACATTGTAGCAAAGTGTAATTTCTTCAGTGTTGTCACATGAAAATATATACTCAAATATTTACAAAAATGTGAGGGGTGCACTCACTTTTGTGAGATACTGTATCTATATCTATCTAGATAGATCTACAAGTCAGCCAATAGTGCATTCTCAGCCTAGAGGTTGCTGTGGCCTCAGAATGTAACTCACTGAAAGAAAGAAGTGTATGAGTTAACTGATTTGAGCACTTGAACTTCACTGTTTATTAAGTTCTATTTACAAAGTAAATATGTTCTTCCCCATTACAGGAAACAACATGCAATTTATGGACAGTGGTGAGCGGAGGGTGGGGTTCTGATCAAAGTAAGATGAATGTGTGTGGCACTTATTCACTTAGTAAACACAGGATGTAACAAATCATACACTTTTATTGCTGTGTCCTTGACAGTCATATACTGAACATACTGTTCACATTAACAATCTCAACCACAGACCTTTTAAGAAGGAGAGTTGTGCTTGAATCAATGTTGGTGTTCCATGTCATGTCAGTTATCCTCAGCCTGATGGATGTCAACCCGTTTTTGATCAGTCTATGAAGGGAACAGTTGATTTCACAGAAACACCCTCGAAGGTCATCCTTCCTGGTGCGTTCAGGTTCTATCTCCATTCATAATGGCATTGACTGGTCAGTCTAAATTACTTGTGTCGTCCTCTGGCTGAATGATTGGCAGTTGATCTCCCCAATCACTACTCCGGGCACAGCGATACACGTCTCTGTGTGGAAAAGATACAATCAGTCATGCATGCAGTTGAACTTGGACAGTGGAAGTGTAATGATGCTAGTTGGAGGATTCAACGTACCTGCCATGTCGATGGGCTGTCACCACAACCCGTTTAAGCTCTCCACTAGTGCAGCAGACCTGACAGTGAACATGTCTCGGCCTGCGCAGCACTGGTGCTGTGAGCCTGGCCCAGTCCAGCCCCTCTCCACTACCCTCTCCACCTGCCCAGTCTGTTCTGGACAGAACCAGGTAGCTGAACCTCTCGGTCAGTCGGTCTGGGGCCTGTGAAATAAATAACAGGACTAAGAATAGTACAGGCCAGATTATCTTGCATTCATTCAATGTTACGCCAACTATAAATAAATATAATAATAAATGGCATTTAGCAGACGCTTTTATCCAAAGCGACTTACAGTCATGCGTGCATAATTTTTTTTTTGTGTATGGGTGGTCCCGGGGTTCGAACCCACTACCTTGGCGTTACAAGCGCTTGGCGTTACAAGCGCCGTGCTCTACCAGCTGAGCTACAGAGGACACAACTATCCCTCATACTTTTATCGCTGATCTACCCCTCTATCTCATGAACACATGGTCAAGTAGGCCTACAGCCAGAAAATACAGTCAGATCCTTCAGAATGATCTCTTACCCCAGGTAAAGGGAGCGGGCTGTAGGCTTGAGAGAAGTTGCAGGGTACTAAGGGCAGTTGGACCAGCTTTGGACAAGGTGAATCATGAGGACACTGCCAAAACAAAGCAGACAAAAAACAAACATGGGTGAAATACACTGGCGAATGAGACGTCAGAATGCATTATAAGGTGGTTAATGTATAATAACATACTGGGGCGAACACAGATGGTCTTCTAGGGTCATGGGCTGCTTTTTCTTGTTTCTGGGATTAGAGTAATAAAGGCATCATTTTACTTTCAATGACTATCATGTATTTAGATATTAAAAGCAGATGACTATAGTATATGTTTGAGAGAGTGAGACCTTAAGTAGTATGTCTCTGGCATCCATAAGTATCTGGTGGCCCTCTTTGGTCCCATTTTCTACCAGCACCTACAACAAGAGCAGAGTTCAAAGAAAAGAGGTTGGGGTGATTCTTGGTAATATTACTTATTGTATAATGGATGGGGTTTGATGGAAAATTTTCACCAACCAGATAAGAGCTGGTCTTTCTCCACAAAGTGAGTATGGCATCTTCCCTCTCCTTCTGACTGGCCAATTCTGACAGAGAAAAGGCCCCCACCACCAGATCAAATTGCACCTGAAAATATAACACCGCATCATCACTAATGCCATCACATTGTTAGTCTTTCACATAATCAGACACAATGAAGGTAACTTGACTAACCTTAGGGGAGACAGGAAGGAACTGACGGAAGTAGACTTGTTTGATGACAGGCTCATATTTTTCACTGCCGCCTGCTCAACAAAGAACAGTATAATGATTATGTAATTCTCTGTCTCGCTCCCTGTACATTCACATGAATGACTGGACGTGCATACCTCTGAGAAGGCGATCAGCTATAGTGTTCATTGCCCCAGAATTGTCGACACACACCATCTCCTTCAACGTTTCACCCCAAAATGAGTGTGATGCCCTGGGAGAAAAGGAAGGAGAATCTTAATGTGAAGTCTCACTACACAGACAGACAACTGAAATTGTGTTATTGTTCTGATCCTCACCAGACAACTGTTCCTAATCCTGAACCAAAGTCCAGGAGAGAATGAGGGGAGAAGGAGGGATCTCTTTTCTTTATCTGGAAAGAGTGATGAAAAAAAGTGAGAGAGGGTCATGCAATGGTCCCACTGTTGGCAAGAGGGGATCAGACTGTATGTAAAGCATGTTAGTGTGTGGTAAGACTGGTTATTTTACCTCATTTAGAGCTCTTTTCACTGCAGCGTAGCCACCTGCCAGCCTAGCAGCCATGTACACCACACCCAACTCTTCATCGTACCTAGGACAGAGAGACAGAAGAGAAGAGTGAGACAGAAATACTAAGTTACATACTACTTTAAGCTTACCAAGCAGAGATGTTCACAGTTGAGGAAAACACACAGCTACCTCATAGGGGACCAGTGGTATGTTGTCTTCCTGAGATTGGACAGCACTTTCTTTGTGATTTGGGTCTCCAGCAGTTGAACGTCTACATCTGAAATAAAAACAGACGTTAACTTCACACTACCACATCTTCTCCATCTTGTGTCCTCTTGAGCAAGACACTTTTCTGGAAGTCGTTCATCCATTTCACCTTTCCCTCACTCCCAACATTCCATACTGCCAAATCTCTGCCCCTTTCTATCTTTTAACATCCATTTGTATTAAGTCTGTCACCTCCACCCTTCTCTTTTGCCTTCTCCCACAGATTCTTCTCCAGGGCCATGGCTCTTTCCCTCAGTGTTACATCCTCAGGCGCTCTCTTCCTGCTCCAAAGGAAGTTGGTGAGACTGCGTGCTTTGTCAAACAACCCACTCACTTCTGTGCCTGCAAGTTGGGAGAACAAAATACAAGAATAATACTGTCACTAAATGGTAACACTGTCTCGTGATATTGTATTACTCAAAAGCAATACCATGGCAATAAGTAACACTATTGAGATAAGGACGTAAAATCTCCTACCATGAATGATAGCTTGTGCTGCTTTCTGGAGTTCATCTGGCAGGCACAGTGTCTTCAGATTGGTCACCCCTGGGTGTTTCCTGTGGGGAGCACCTTTTAGGAAGTCTGCATGGGATTGGGGATGCACTGCTGCACTTAGTGCCTGTGGGTAAAGACAAGTTATTCGAGACATAACTGACATTAACATTCTCAATATCATTTTTCACAACCTCTATTAATAAAGATGGTGAGTCGTCAATCAGACTTCAAGGTCACAAAAAATGAAGGATGGATCACAGAAGAAAAGGGCACATTTGAGAGAATGGATCAATGACAGTGTGGGAAGAGCAAAAACAAGACATACCCTGTACATTATCCTCACAGCAACCACCCTTTGATAAAGGACACACGCACCATAAGCCCGAGAAGCCATATCTTCGATTTAACAATCCCAAATGTCTACATGAAATAGTAACTATACTAAATAGCTAGCTGACACAACATGAGACGCGATCACATGTGTACGTTTACAAAATACTTCCCACTAGGAAAATGCTAAGGCGGAACCTTTATTGCTGAGCCCACAGCGTATCTCAAAAGAGATGCTAGCTGGGTGAATTTCCGGCACGCATCACTTTCTAGTCTGCATCTGTCTCAATTTTTTAAGTGTTCTTAAAAAAAAAGTTATTATTTGGCAAGTGACATAAACATTGTAAAACATGAGACGCACAAGAAGCTCCAGGAACACATCTCAATGTGTAGCATCAGAAAATGGAGTGGCTCCGTCCAAGACAGGTTAGTACTTGCTAGCAAGCTAACGTTAGCTTTGTTGTTGCTGGCTCGAGGTAGCTGGCTAGCTAGCTACACTTAGGTTGCATGTAACTTTGCTTATCTAACGTTAGTTAGCTACTAACAAACAACTCACAGGCAGCTGATAACTGTTGAAAAGTTAGCTTGACTCAAAGTCTGTTGTGACACCATTGATTGGCTATAAAGCTTCATACCTCTCTGTTTGACTGAAACATAGCTATGCAAAAACGTGTATGTCTAGTCCACAGCGGCTGTTGCGTTGTTGTATTAACCTCTCTGTGACTGTTCTCTCCTCAGTGTGGCAGTGGAAGGGGGATGAGGGTCAGTGGGAGCCATACCCACCATCAGCATGTGCCCAGCTAGACTCAGCCCTCAGCTCTGGAGACACAATGGTCTCCCTGACTTTTGGCTCTGGGGCAGTGTATGACGTAGACTTGAAGAAGATGGTCCAGGTCAACACAGTAACCAAGTACAAGAGGAAAATACGCTCTCACACACTGAAAGCAGGTCAGTTGGTAATGTGTATATAATGTGTGTCTATGTATGTGTGTTACCTACAACAAACCAACACATGCTATCCCCCTGTAGAGAGTTTAAATGGAGGAGATGCAGTGGATTTAACCCAACAAGATGCAAGTCCAGTCCAGATTAAAGAGGAGGAAATGGAGGAGCAGCCAAATGCCAAGAAGAAGCGGGGTGAGGGAAGGAGCCAGAAGAAAAGTAAAGCGATGCCCGTGGATGAAGCGGAGAGCAAAGGTTCCGGCATTTCCTTCCATTTTTATAATTTAAAGTGTTGTCTAAAGTGCATTCTATGCTAGAAATACCCATGATTTTATGACATGGTATCTATTTTTGTTAATGTGTGATACAGTAATGTAAGGGGCTGTGTCGATTGGCTCTTTGTAATGTGTTCATGTGCTCTTCATAATTGTTGTTCATGTCAGACGTCTTATTGATGTGTTGTGTATTAACGGTGCTGTTTATGTTGTGCAGAGATTGTGAAGACTGTGGTCATGAAAGGAAAGGCTCCAGTTGATTCAGAATGCAAAGCCAAAGTCGGCAAGGTACAGTACACTGTATGTTTTCTTTAGACTGGCAACTGAAACATTCACATATGATGCTCACACCTCTCTGTGGTTTTGTCACCTAGACATCTGTGAGCTTTTTTAAGACAAACTTAGGTCACAGTTCTCAATGTGGGGTTTCTGTTTGAAAGTGTTTTAGTCACATGCCTCTGACACAATCTACCATGTACAGTGAGGGGAAAAAAAGTATTTGATCCCCTGCTGATTTTGTACGTTTGCCCACTGACAAAGAAATTATCAGTCTATACTTTTAATTTTACATTTACATTTTATTCATTTAGCAGACGCTCTTATCCAGAGCGACTTACAGGAGCAATTAGGGTTAAGTGCCTTGCTCAAGGGCACATTTACGTCATTTAGCAGACGCTCTTATCCAGAGCGACTCACCAATTGGTGCGTTCACCCTATAGCCAGTGGGATAACCACTTTACAATTTGGGGGGGGGGGGGTAGAAGGATTACTTTATCCTATCCCAGGTATTCCTTAAAGAGGTGGGGTTTCAAATGCCTCCGGAAGGTGGTGAGTGACTCCGCTGTCCTGGCGTCGTGAGGGAGCTTGTTCCACCATTGGGGTGCCAGAGCAGCGAACAGTTTTGACTGGGCTGAGCGGGAACTATGCTTCCGCAGAGGAAGGGGAGCCAGCAGGCCAGAGGTGGATGAACGCAATACCCTCGTTTGGGTGTAGGGACTGATCAGAGCCCGAAGGTACAGAGGTGCCGTTCCCCTCACTGCTCCATAGGCAAGCACCATGGTCTTGTAGCGGATGCGAGCTTCAACTGGAAGCCAGTGGAGTGTGCGGAGGAGGGGGGTGACGTGAGAGAACTTGGGAAGGTTGAACACCAGACGGGCTGCGGCATTCTGGATGAGTTGTAGGGGTTTAATGGCACAGGCAGGGAGGCCAGCCAACAGCGAGTTGCAGTAGTCCAGACGGGAGATGACAAGTGCCTGGATTAGGACCTGTGCCGCTTCCTGTGTAAGGCAGGGTCGTACTCTCCGAATGTTGTAGAGCATGAACCTGCAGGAGCGGGTCACCGCCTTGATGTTGGCGGAGAACGACAGGGTGTTGTCCAGGGTCACGCCTAGGCTCTTCGCACTCTGGGAGGAGGACACAGCGGAGTTGTCAACCGTGATGGCGAGATCATGGAACGGGCAGTCCTTCCCCGGGAGGAAGAGCAGCTCCGTCTTGCCAGGGTTCAGCTTGAGGTGGTGATCCGTCATCCATACTGATATGTCTGCCAGACATGCAGAGATGCGATTCGCCACCTGGTTATCAGAAGGGGGAAAGGAGAAGATTAGTTGTGTATCGTCAGCGTAGCAATGATAGGAGAGGCCATGTGAGGATATGACAGAGCCAAGTGACTTGGTGTATAGGGAGAAAAGGAGAGGGCCTAGGACTGAGCCCTGGGGGACACCAGTGGTGAGAGCACGTGGTGCGGAGACAGCTTCTCGCCACGCCACTTGGTAGGAGCGACCGGTCAGGTAGGACGCAATCCAGGAGTGAGCCGCGCCGGAGATGCCCAGCTCGGAGAGGGTGGAGAGGAGGATCTGATGGTTCACAGTATCAAAGGCAGCAGACAGGTCTAGAAGGACAAGAGCAGAGGAGAGAGAGTTAGCTTTAGCAGTGCGGAGAGCCTCCGTGACACAGAGAAGAGCAGTCTCAGTTGAATGACCAGTCCTGAAACCTGACTGGTTTGGATCAAGAAGGTCATTCTGAGCGAGATAGCAAGAGAGTTGGCTAAAGACAGCACGCTCAATAGTTTTGGAAAGAAAAGAAAGAAGGGATACTGGTCTGTAGTTGTTGACATCAGTGGGATCGAGTGTTGGTTTCTTGAGAAGGGGAGCAACTCTCGCTCTCTTGAAGACGGAAGGGACATGGCCAGCGGTCAAGGATGAGTTGATCAGCGAGGTGAGGTAGGGGAGAAGGTCACCGGAGATGGTCTGGAGAAGAGAGGAGGGGATGGGGTCAAGCGGGCAGGTTGTTGGGCGGCCTGCAGTCACAAGTCGCAGGATTTTATCTGGAGAGAGAGGGGAGAAAGAAGTCAAAGCATAGGGTAGGGCAGTGTGAGTAGGACCAGCAGTGTCATTAGACTTAACAAACGAGGATCGAATGTCGTCAACCTTCTTTTCAAAGTGGTTGACGAAATCATCCACAGAGAGAGAGGAGGGGGGGGGCGGGGGGGGGGGAGGATTCAGGAGGGAGGAAAATGTGGCAAAGAGCTTCCTAGGGTTAGAGGCAGATGCTTGGAATTTAGAGTGGTAGAAAGTGGCCTTAGCAGCAGAAACAGATGAAGAAAATGTAGAGAGGAGGGAGTGAAAAGATGCCAGGTCGGCAGGGAGTTTAGTTTTCTTCCATTTCCGCTCCGCTGCCCGGAGCTCTGTTCTGTGAGCTCGCAATGAGTCATCAAGCCACGGAGCTGGAGGGGAGGACCGAGCCGGCCGGGAGGATAGGGGACACAGAGAGTCAAAGGATGCAGAAAGGGAGGAGAGGAGGGTTGAGGAGGCAGAATCAGGAGATTGGAGGGAGAAGGATTGAGCAGAGGGAAGAGATGATAGGATGGAAGAGGAGAGAGTAGTGGGAGAGAGAGAGCGAAGGTTGCGGCGGCGCATTACCATCTGTGTAGGGGCAGAGTGAGTAGTGTGGGAGGAGAGCGAGAGAGAAAAGGAAACAAAGTAGTGGTCGGAGACATGGAGGGGAGTTGCAGTGAGATTAGTAGAAGAGCAGCATCTAGTAAAGATGAGGTCAAGCGTATTGCCTGCCTTGTGAGTAGGGGGGGACGGTGAGAGGGTGAGGTCAAAAGAGGAGAGAAGTGGAAAGAAGGAGGCAGAGAGAAATGAGTCAAATGTGGACATAGGGAGGTTGAAATCCCCCAAAACTGTGAGGGGTGAGCCATCCTCAGGAAAGGAACTTATCAAGGCGTCAAGCTCATTGATGAACTCTCCAAGGGAACCTGGAGGGCGATAGATGACAAGGATATTAAGCTTAAATGGGCTAGTGACTGTGACAGCATGGAATTCAAATGAGGAGATAGACAGATGGGTTAGGGGAAAAATTGAGAATGTCCACTTGGGAGAGATGAGGATTCCTGTGCCACCACCCCTCTGACCAGATGCTCTCGGGGTATGCGAGAACACATGGTCAGATGAGGAGAGAGCAGTAGGAGTAGCAGTGTTTTCAGTGGTAATCCATGTTTCCGTCAGCGCCAGGAAGTCGAGGGACTGGAGATTAGCATAGGCTGGGATGAAGTCAGCTTTGTTGGCAGCAGAACGGCAGTTCCAGAGGCTGCCTGAGACCTGGAACTCCAGGTGTGGGGTGCGTGCAGGGACCACCAGGTTAGAGAGGCAGCAGCCACGCGGTGTGGGGCGTTTGTGTAGCCTGTGCGGAGAGGAGAGAACAGGGATAGGCAGAGGCATAGTTGACAGGCTGCAACAGATGGCTACAATAATGCAGAGGAGATCGGGATGAAATGAACTGAACATCAGGGAAAGGAGAGAGCAGGCCTCCCTCACCAAAAAAATAAATAAATATATAACTCTCCCAACTTCCACCTCAGAAACTATAATTGTTTCACTGAACCACCCGAATAAAACTCTCCCAACTTCCACTTTAGAAATTAGAATTGTTGTAAGCTACAGCAGACTGTTATCAGTAGCTGTAATTAAGTACAGCAGCTACCAACCACCTAACGTTAATGCCTCGGATGAGGTTAGAAAAACAGCTGAATGGTAGCAGCTAGCTGGCTCAATCACAGGTACTCTCAAGCATGAAATAACATTGGAAACAGCTAACCACAGTTGCTAAAAGTTACCGGTAGCTACCCTCTAGCTAGCTAGCTTTGTTGGTCCAGGTAGTGGGTAAGCTAGCCTCGTGCTTCGCCTGGGCTCCGCCGAATAAAAATCCTTACCTACAATAATAACCTACAATAACTACCGGAGTAAGCTACCTATAATACCAAACTACAATACCTACCTACAATCTAAATACATGGTTTAAGCTTAACTCAACACCATATAAGAAGCCAAGCTTACCTTTCATAACGCAGCAATGATTAAACGTTGGGTAGCTAGCACAAAGATATTGTATTTAGCTAGGTTTATTTGAACAGTGAGAGACAGAATAACAACAACAAAAATTCAGAAAAACGCATGTCAAAAATGTTATGAATTGATTTGCATTTTAATGAATAGCGTGATTCAAAACCAAAGTTTGCAGGCAAAACCATTGCAGTGTTTTTTTGTGACGGTAGTTGATGCAAACTAGCCACTTACGAAAAACACTCATTACAAATAACCTCCATTGATCTCCATCATGCTAGCTACTATTTAGTATTTTATTCAAGCGGATAAAGTAGTGATGTAGGCAGTGACATAGTTCCTCTATGCCAAAAGAGTCCCTAGTCACTGTTGCCTAGGGTCGGGTATTCAAGACTATTCCCTTCTCATCAATTCTAAACCCTCTCTTTTCCTCACAGGCCCATGTCTACAGTGAAGGAAATGACGTATATGACGTAATGTTAAACCAGGTAAAAACATAACGACATAGTAACTACATAAAAGAGTGTATTTGCTAAATGATTTGTAAGGGAGATGTTTTTGTTGTTTCACAGACAAATCTTCAGTTCAACAACAACAAATTTTTCCTGATCCAGCTACTTCAGGATGACAGTGCCAAGGCCTACAGCGTGTGGTTGAGATGGGGACGAGGTGGGTTCATGTCTTTGTTTTCCCAAATGTTTTTTGATATTGTGAAGTAGTGTTTTCTAACACATGGTGCAATCTCTCTTTAGTTGGTAAGGTTGGACAGAACAATCTAGTTTCCTGTGGTGGAGATCTTCTTCAAGCCAAAGATGTCTTCAAGAAAAAGTAAGTGGGCTGGGGGGTGTTGTGTTGGAGTTGAGTGATATTGGGTGTTTGAATGAGGGGGGGAAGCTACATTTTTAAACTAAGTGAATATTGCTAAGAGGAGAATGTATTCATTTGTGTTTTGATGTAGGTTTCTGGATAAGACCAAGAACGAGTGGGCACACCGGGCAAACTTTGAGAAGGTGGCTGGAAAATATGACATGGTGTTTATGGACTACAGTGCCAATGGAAAGGCAAGGAATAAATAATCTCAGACTTTCCTCATATCGTCAGGGTTTTATCTCTCAATCATCTACATATCTACACATCTATCCTCAGAGTCCGTACTGCTTGGTGACCTAAACTGGGATATTCTTAACACCCCGGCCATCCTACAATCCAAACTAGATGCCCTCAATCTCACACAAATTATCAACGAACCTACCAGGTACAACCCTAAATCCGTAAACATGGGCACCCTCATAGATATCATCCTGACTAATTTACCCTCTAAATACACCTCCGCTGTCTTCAACCAGGATCTCAGCGATCACTGCCTTATTGCCTGCGTCCGAGGTCAAACGACCACCCCTCATCACTGTCAAACGCTCCCTAAAACACTTTAGCGAGCAGGCCATCCTAATTGACCTGGCCCAGGTATCCTGGATGGATATCGATCTCATTCCGTCAGTAGAGGATGCCTGGTTGTTCTTTAAAAGTAATTTCCTCTCAATCTTAAATAAACATGCCCCATTCAAAAAATACAGAACTAAGAACAGATATAGCCCCTGGTTCTCCTCAGACTTGACTGCCCTTGACCAGCACAAAAACATCCTGTGGCGTACTGCATTAGCATCGAATAGCCCCCGCGATATGCAACTTTTCAGGGAAGTTAGGAGCCAATATACACAAGCAGTTAGGAAAGCAAAGGCTAGCTTTTTCAAACAGAAATTTGCATCCTGTAGCACTAACTCCAAAAAGTTTTGGGACACTATAAAGTCCATGGAGAATAAGAGCACCTCCTCCCAGCTGTCCACTGCACTGAGGCTAGGAAACACTATCACCACCGATAAATCTACAATAATCGAGAATTTCAACAAGCATTTTGCTACGGCTGGCCATGCTTTCCACCTGGCTACCACTACCCCGGCCACCAGCTCTGCACCCTCCGCTGCAACTTGCCCATGCCCCCCCCCCCCCCCCCCCCCCCCCCCCCGCTTCTCCTTCACACAAATTCAGACAGCTGATGTTCTGAAAGAGCTGCAAAATCTGGGCCCCTACAAATCATCTGGGTTAGACAATCTGGACCCTTTCTTTCTAAAACTAGCTGCCGAAATTGTCGCAACCCCTATTACTAGCCTGTTCAACCTCTCTTTCGTAACGTCTGAGATCCCCAGAGATTGGAAAGCTGCCACGGTCATCCCCCTCATCAAAGGGGGTGACACTCTAGATCCAAACTGTTACAGACCTATATCCATCCTGCCCTGCCTTTCGAAAGTTTTTGAAAGCCAAGTTAACAAACAGATCCCACCGTACCTTCTCCGCTATACAATCCAGTTTCCGAGCTGGTCATGGGTGCACCTCAGCCACGCTCAAGGTCCTAAACGATATTATAACCGCGATCGATAATAGACAGTACTGTGCAGCCGTCTTCATCGACCTGGCCAAGGCTTTCGACTCTGTCAACCACAGCATTCTTATTGGCAGACTAAATAGCCTTGGTTTATCAAATGACTGCCTCACCTGGTTCACCAACTACTTCTCAGATAGTTCAATGTGTCAAATCTGAGGGCCTGTTGTCTGGACCTATGGCAGTCTCTATGGGGGTGCCACAGGGTTCAATTCTTGGGCCGACTCTTTTCTCCGTGTATATCAATGATGTCGCTCTTGCTGCTGGTGACTCTCAGATCCACCTCTACGCAGACGACACCATTTTGTATACATCTGGCCCTTCAATGGACACTGTGTTAACAAACCTCCAAATGAGCTTCAATGCCATACAACACTCCTTCAGTAGCCTCCAACTGCTCTTAAACACTAGTAAAACTAAATGCATGCTCTTCAATCGAACGCTGCTGGCACCCGCCCGACTAGAATCACTACTCTCGACGGGTCTGACCTAGAGTATGTGGACAACTACAAATACCTAGGTGTCTGGTTAGACTGTAAACTCTCCTTCCAGACTCACATTAAGCATCTCCAATCCAAAGTTAAATCTAGAATCGGCTTCCTATTTAGCAACAAAGCCTCCTTCACTCATGCTGCCAAACATGCCCTCGTAAAACTGACTATCCTACCGATCCTTGACTTCGGCGATGTCATTTACAAAATAGCCTCCAACAGTCTACTCAGCAAATTGGATGTAGTCTATCACAGTGCCATCCGTTTTGTCACCAAAGCCCCATATACTAGCCACCACTGTGACCTGTACGCTCTTGTTGGCTGGTCCTCACTACATATTCGTCGTCAAACCCACTGGCTCCAGGCCATCTATAAATCACTGCTAGGCAAATCCCTGCCTTATCTTAGCTCATTGGTCACCATAGCAACACCCACCCGTAGTATGCGCTCCAGCAGGTATATCTCACTGGTCATCCCCAAAGCCAACACCTCCTTTGGCCGCCATTCCTTCCAGTTCTCTGCTGCCAATGACTGGAACGAACTGCAAAACCTCTGAAGCTGGAGACTCTTTATCTCCCTCACTATCTTTAAGCATCAGTTGTCAGAGCACCTTACCGATCACTGCACCTGTACACAGCCCATCTGAAATTAGCCCACCCAACTACCTCATCCCCATATTGTTATTTATTTTGCTCATTTGCACCCCAGTATCTCTATTTGCACATCATCTCTTGCACATCTATCTATCATTCCAGTGTTAATACTAATTGTAATTATTTTACACTATGGCCTATTTATTGCCTTACCTCCATAACTTGCTACATTTGCACACACTGTATATATATTTTCTGTTGTATTTTTGACTTTATGTTTTGTTTTACCCCATCTGTGTTGTTGTTTTTATCGCACTGCTTTGCTTTATCTTGGCCAGGTTGCAGTTGTAAATGAAAACTTGTTCTCAACTGCCTTACCTGGTTAAATAAAGGTTAAATACATTTTAAAAAATATCCCCCTGTTCTGCATTCATTAATTCTCCATTCCATATCTTCTGTCCCACCCCTCTGACCTTATTGATCCACTGCTCTACAGCTTCAGGCAGGTGAGTCTGTGTCTAACCAGTGTCCCTCCTTTTCCAGGAAGAGCCCCAGCTCCAGCTTGAGTCTCTGTCCCAGAAAAAGCCCTCCAAGCTGGATGTGAAGGTCCAGTCCCTTCTCGAACTGATCTGTGACATCAAGGCCATGGAGGAATGTGTGCTGGAGATGAAGTTTGACACCCGAAAAGCTCCTCTCGGTGAGTATGTGTAACAGTCAAAATAACAGACAAAATAAATGTGACATTGTTTTTGTACCTTTTCATTGCGGTTGTTCTTCTCTGTAGGCAAGCTTACAACAGAGCAGATCCGTGCAGGTTACTCAGCCCTGAAGAAGATTGAGGAGTGTGTGAAGAGAAAGGGAAGCAACCGAGAGCTGCTGGAGGCATGCAACCAGTTCTACACACGCATCCCCCATGACTTTGGGTCAGTAATAAATGTTCTGTATTTCAAGCTGCTCTATCCACTGGCATGTGTCCAGACATGGTAAATAACACTTTTATTATATTTTTCCCAGGTTGCGAACTCCCCCAATTATCAGCTCAGAAGAGGAGCTGAAGGAAAAAATTGCCTTATTAGAAGTGAGCATGACTTATTTGAGTACTGTTACCTGCCAATCCTACCATTCAATCAAATGTTCTTACAAATTGAAATTGCTGGGTGTTGGTTGGGTATAGAATCACGCCGTCTGCAGTCTGTTTGACAGTGTGTTGTCTATCTCCAGGCACTGAGTGACATCCAGATAGCAGTGAAGATGGTCCAGTCCAGTGCCTATGGTGATGAGCATCCTCTGGACAGACAGTACAACTCCCTCCAGTGCCAACTACAGCCACTGTCCTCTTGTAGCCAAGAGTATCAGGTGAGCACCTGTGCTTTGGTTGAGTTTACTCAAAGTATGTTCATGTGTGGTTTAGAGGTCTGTTACAGCTGGGCTGGAACAAAAACCTGTACAAATTGATCAGGTCTCTTCCCTCCACTGCCTAATTGTTGTTTTCTCTCTGAAGGTGGTTGAGAGATATCTCCAGACAACCCATGCTCCCACTCACTCGGACTTCACCATGACTGTTCTGGACATCTTCTCTGTGGACAGGGAGGGGGAGAAGAACGGCTTCCTCTCACAACTACACAACAGGTACCTAATGTTTTATTGTCTGCTTACACAGGCTGTCCGATGCCACTTTAAAAGGGCTTTTAAAATAACTGAGAAATACACAGTTTAAAATGTTTGTAACATTGAAAGCACATTACTGCTACAGAGTAGCTCAATGAAATGGTACCCGTGGTGAATGGTTCTCTTTCAGGGTGTGTTCTGCATTGTTATTGTGTGTGTGTCCCTCAGGACACTGCTGTGGCATGGCTCTCGTCTGTCTAACTGGGTTGGAATCCTCAGCCAGGGCCTCAGAGTGGCCCCTCCAGAGGCTCCCGTCACTGGATACATGGTGAGATGGTGTGAGAGAGAATATGACTGAAATTAAATGGCACATGTTTACCTGCTGCATAACAGGGCGATGACAACTGTTTCTTTCTCCTAGTTTGGCAAAGGTATTTACTTTGCTGACATGTCATCGAAAAGTGCCAACTACTGCTTTGCCAATCAACGCAACAAAACTGGACTCCTACTGCTGAGCGAGGTGTGAGATTTGTAGTGTTATTTTTTCCTCTACACAAATGCATTGTTTCGAACTTGAGAAGAACCATTCTGGAAATGATCTAATCCATATGAAGTGTTTGTTTCCATACAACTGGCATTTTTTATTTGATTTATTAGGATCCCCATTAGCTGACCCTGATGGCGACAGTTAGTCTTACTGGGGTCCCACACATAATGAAAAATACATTACAGACAAATGACTTGTATCCCTGTGTGATGCAATGTGATGTGTGTACTCCCTTGGTAACAGATCATCTGTTTATTAATTGTCTTGGTAACAGGTGGCCCTGGGTGACAGTAACGAGCTGTTAGCAGCTGACTGCGAGGCTGCCAAACTACCTGCAGGGAAACACAGCACCAAGGGCCTTGGACAGACAAGCCCAGACCCCAGGAACGCTGTCACACTGTGAGTTTCACTCACTGTAAATGTTTGGTTGGTTTTCTCTAACACAGATTAGTTATAACTAAGTAACTGAGACATTACTAGTAGTTTTACTTGAACATGAATCAAGCTTTCCGTCTTATATGTTGTAATGTCTCGCTTGAGTCTTCCATTGTTCATTATTGTCTCATCTCTCTCTCTCTGTTCTGTGGTTCTCTCAGTGATGGAGTGACAGTTCCCATGGGGCCAGGAATGAAGACCGGGGTGGGAGTAGGTGGCGGCTACTCCCTCCTCTACAATGAGTTCATTGTCTATAACCCTGCCCAGACCCGCATGAGGTATTTACTAAGAGTTCAGTTTAACTACTCCTCACTGTGGTGAGACAGGGATATATTGTAAAGACGTGTGTAGCAAAAAGAGACATTAACACGTTAACTAAACTGTCGCATAAAACAAATAAGGGGGGGTGCTTATATTTGTCCTGTTACACACAAGTGTGTAATGGAAATGCCTTGCTTAAGGGCACAGCAACAGATTTGTTTTGTTCTTCTTTCGGTTACTGACCCAACGCTTCAACCTCGAGGCTATCTGCCACCCTTAAGCTTAAGCGGTGGTTATGAAAAAGGAATAGTAGACCCAGAGAAATTCAGATAAAAAAAATGTCCTTCTCATGAAACGGTCCCTAAGTTGTTAATGTCTGTGGTGTTGAGGCTGTATTACTCCCAATAGTTTTATTTCAAAGCCTCGCATTGTATGATGTCCATAAGAGGGCAACAACAATGAATGTGGGTTAGTTATACATCTGTTGCATTCCAAGCGTGTTTTGAAATACAGTGCATGATGTTGTTTAGACATCAGGACAGCTTTCTTTATGTTGTCAAATGTCACCCTGAATGTGTCTTTCTAATGTAAAACTAAAGAATAAAAATGTATGAAGGTTTTATATATAAGCTATTGCTATCCATGTATCACTGACCACATGTTAAACACAAAACAGATTTGATTGATAACAAAAACATGAAAAGTAAGTCTGTAAGGGCGAGATAAATATCACTCATCAAATACAGTGGGGAGAACAAGTATTTGATACACTGCCGATTTTGCAGGTTTTCCTACTTACAAAGCATGTAGAGGTCTGTAATTTTTTATCATAGGTACACTTCAACTGTGAGAGACTGAATCTAAAACAAAAATCCAGAAAATCACATTGTATGATTTTTAAGTAATTAATTTGCATTTTATTGCATGACATAAGTATTTGATCACCTACCAACCAGTAAGAATTCCGGCTCTCACAGACCTGTTAGTTTTTCTTTAAGAAGCCCTCCTGTTCTAAACTCATTACCTGTATTAACTGCACCTGTTTGAACTCGTTACCTGTATAAAAGACACCTGTCCACACACTCAATCAAACAGACTCCAACCTCTCCACAATGGCCAAGACCAGAGAGCTGTGTAAGGACATCAGGGATAAAATTGTAGACCTGCACAAGGCTGGGATGGGCTACAGGACAATAGGCAAGCAGCTTGGTGAGAAGGCAACAACTGTTGGCGCAATTATTAGAAAATGGAAGAAGTTCAAGATGACGGTCAATCACCCTCGGTCTGGGGCTCCATGCAAGATCTCACCTAGTGGGGCATCAATGATCATGAGGAAGGTGAGGGATCAGCCCAGAACTACACGGCAGGACCTGGTCAATGACCTGAAGAGAGCTGGGACCACAGTCTCAAAGAAAACCATTAGTAACACACTACGCCGTCATGGATTAAAATCCTGCAGCGCACGCAAGGTCCCCCTGCTCAAGCCAGCGCATGTCCAGGCCCATCTGAAGTTTGCCAATGACCATCTGGATGATCCAGAGGAGGAATGGGAGAAGGTCATGTGGTCTGATGAGACAAAAATAGAGCTTTTTGGTCTAAACTCCACTCGCCGTGTTTGGAGGAAGAAGAAGGATGAGTACAACCCCAAGAACACCATCCCAACCGTGAAGCATGGAGGTGGAAACATCATTCTTTGGGGATGCTTTTCTGCAAAGGGGACAGGACGACTGCACCGTATTGAGGGGAGGATGGATGGGGCCATGTATCGCGAGATCTTGGCCAACAACCTCCTTCCCTCAGTAAGAGCATTGAAGATGGGTCGTGGCTGGGTCTTCCAGCATGACAACGACCCGAAACACACAGCCAGGGCAACTAAGGAGTGGCTCCGTACGAAGCATCTCAAGGTCCTGGAGTGGCCTAGCCAGTCTCCAGACCTGAACCCAATAGAAAATCTTTGGAGGGAGCTGAAAGTCCGTATTGCCCAGCGACAGCTCCGAAACCTGAAGGATCTGGAGAAGGTCTGTATGGAGGAGTGGGCCAAAATCCCTACTGCAGTGTGTGCAAACCTGGCCAAGACCTACAGGAAACGTATGATCTCTGTAATTGCAAACAAAGGTTTCTGTACCAAATATAAAGTTCTGCTTTTCTGATTTATCAAATACTTATGTCATGCAATAAAATGCAAATTAATTACTTAAAAATCATACAATGTGATTTTCTGGATTTTTGTTTTAGATTCCGTCTCTCACAGTTGAAGTGTACCTATGATAAAAATTATAATAATAAATAAATAATAATATGCCATTTAGCAGACGCTTTTATCCAAAGCGACTTAAATTACAGACCTCTACATGCTTTGTAAGTAGGAAAACCTGCAAAATCGGCAGTGTATCAAATACTTGTTCTCCCCACTGTATGTATATCCAGGGATTTCCATGTAAAAAATTAATTAAGACTTGTTTTCATTGTATGAGTGTTTGGAGTAGAGCTCCAAACCGATCACTTATCCAGGGCCAGATTAACAAATAATAGGCCCGAGGCTTTGTTTTTCTTATGGGGGGGGGGGACTCAGTCGGGGTCTCAACTTACTGTTGAGAGTTAAAATAGTACGATACACAGGGTGCAATTTCAAAATGTTATTGTGCGTCAAATCAAATTTTATTTGTCACATGCGCAAAATAACCAACAATGCAGTTCAAGAAATAGAGTTAAGAAAATATTAAATAAATAAACTAAAGTAAAATATAAAATAAAAAGTAACACAATAAAATAACAATAACGAGGCTATATACAGGGGTGCAGTGGGTTGAATGGCGGGAACCTGGTTATCGAGATTTACCGGGATTTACCGCCCAAAACCACTCCCTTTTCTCTGGATAAATAACTGCGAGGAACTGGTAAATTATAATAAATTATGTATATGAACAGCATGGCGTGAAATGGAACTGTTAAATTATATGCGATGTCTAAATCTGGCTTCTCTACAGCCTCTGCGTGATGAATCAACGCTCAGGGTGGGGACAGACCATCTCACATTTGTTTTTTAATTGTAAAGATTTTATTTTATTGCAGCTGCAGAGTTTAAAACAGTCTATCACTCGAATATCGGTGCTTTAAATCAGTGCACGCACGAACACTCTCTCGCAGTCTTTCTCTCTCTCCATCAACTCCATTAAAATTGTATCCAAATATGATAATCCTGTTCTAGATTGATATATAGCCATATATATATTTTCTAGCCTACCTCTTTCAGGCAATAAATTCAATGCAGTATTAGCCTTATATTTAGCTAATTAATGATGGCTTATGCATAATAAGCTTCTAACTTTTAGCCTCTTTCTCTTGCTCAATACGCAAGCACCTGTGCTCCACTGGCCTCTCCTTAAAGAGGAGCGTGGAGCACCTTAGCTCTTGGAGTCCCAGGCAGGAAAAGCTAGACTAGAATAGCTTGCTGGACACCTTTTTTTTGTGCATTTCTTACACCAATAGACTATTCGAAGAGAGGTGCAAGCTCTTTTTTGTTGAATGTTAAATACAGTAGCCAATAGAACTCACGGGTAGTTTGAAAGAAGAGTGAACACAGGATGGCGGTAGGCTATAGCAGTTATTTATTCAGACCTGTAACCATTCGATCTTCGTGAAGAGAAGTGAAAGCCTTCTGCATCTAATTCTAGTCCTATGTTATTCAGCGATGTCATTAGAATGATTTAAGATAAGGACAACAAAGCGTATTTCATTCAACTGTTGAAAGCGAGGAAGGAATGAAGCAACAATAGAGAGAGAAAGAGGAGGTAGGCTAATAACATTAGGGGAAATATTATGAAAGGTATATACAGTGCCTTTGGAAAGTGTTAGGTTTTACTCTGTTTATTTAGAACCTAACGGACAACTAGTTAAAGCTCAAACCAAGTTTATTCACCCACTGGGTCAAACAGCTGAAAATACATGTTTCCACCAGCACAAGTATTTATACCCCCCCTTCAAGTGGAGTCTCCTCCTTTTCTCTAAACATTACATATTTGTTGCTAGGCAGGAAATTAAGTGATGTTGGTAATAAACTGTTCCTTCTCCCTTCATGTGACCTGACCTGACCTCTGCCCCCATTCCTCACTAATCCACATCTTCTATCCACCCTCATCAGTGACCGCAACCATGTGATTGCCTTTTTGCCTTACTTAGTAACATTCCAAGCCCCTGGCTCTTATCCAACCTCCATTGACCCCACCATATACATTCCTCCTACATATAACCATTAAATTCTGGTGTAGCAAGTATTTCCAATTACAACCCAACAAAAGTATTCAGACCCCTTGACTTTTTCCACATTTTGTTATGTTACAGCCTTAGTCTAAAATTGATTTAAATTGAGTTTTTTTCTTAATCAATTTTTTTATTGGGTTCATTATATGACAAAGCAAAAAACGGTTTTTAGAAATTTTGCAAATGTATAGTTGAGTATGTGTAGTTCTTTTTACCTGATTTACCTGAGGCTAACCTGCTGATAATGAACCCAATAAAAGTTGTAGGGGAAGCTGTTTCACAACAGGAGTAGGTATACTGTAGGTATATCACTTCCTCTAAGCTGGAACGAATCCAAGTGGACTTGATTCAAGACAAAATGTCCATTCTTTTTCTTTCTCTCTCTCTCTCAGTTCAGTTTCAATTTAAGGGCTTTATTGGCATGGGAAACATACAGTGGGGGAAAAAAGTATTTAGTCAGCCACCAATTGTGCAAGTTCTCCCACTTAAAAAGATGAGAGAGGCCTGTAATTTTCATCATAGGTACACGTCAACTATGACAGACAAAATTAGAAGAAAAAAATCCAGAAAATCACATTGTAGGATTTTTAATGAATTTATTTGCAAATAAGGTGGAAAATAAGTATTTGGTTAATAACAAAAGTTTCTCAATACTTTGTTATATACCCTTTGTTGGCAATAACACAGGTCAAACGTTTTCTGTAAGTCTTCACAAGGTTTTCACACACTGTTGCTGGTATTTTGGCCCATTCCTCCATGCAGATCTCCTCTAGAGCAGTGATGTTTTGGGGCTGTCGCTGGGCAACACGGACTTTCAACTCCCTCCAAAGATTTTCTATGGGGTTGAGATCTGGAGACTGGCTAGGCCACTACAGGACCTTGAAATGCTTCTTACGAAGCCACTCCTTCGTTGCCCGGGCGGTGTGTTTGGGATCATTGTCATGCTGAAAGACCCAGCCACGTTTCATCTTCAATGCCCTTGCTGATGGAAGGAGGTTTTCACTCAAAATCTCACGATACATGGCCCCATTCATTCTTTCCTTTACACGGATCAGTCGTCCTGGTCCCTTTGCAGAAAAACAGCCCCAAAGCATGATGTTTCCACCCCCATGCGTCACAGTAGGTATGGTGTTCTTTGGATGCAACTCAGCATTCTTTGTCCTCCAAACACGACGAGTTGAGTTTTGACCAAAAAGTTCTATTTTGGTTTCATCTGACCATATGACATTCTCCCAATCCTCTTCTGGATCATCCAAATGCACTCTAGCAAACTTCAGACGGGCCTGGACATGTACTGGCTTAAGCAGGGGGACACGTCTGGCACTGCAGGATTTGAGTCCCTGGCGGCGTAGTGTGTTACTGATGGTAGGCTTTGTTACTTTGGTCCCAGCTCTCTGCAGGTCATTCACTAGGTCCCCCCGTGTGGTTCTGGGATTTTTGCTCACCGTTCTTGTGATCATTTTGACCCCACGGGGTGAGATCTTGCGTGGAGCCCCAGATCAAGGGAGATTATCAGTGGTCTTGTATGTCTTCCATTTCCTAATAATTGCTCCCACAGTTGATTTCTTCAAACCAAGCTGCTTACCTATTGCAGATTCAGTCTTCCCAGCCTCGTGCAGGTCTACAATTTTGTTTCTGGTGTCCTTTGACAGCTCTTTGGTCTTGGCCATAGTGGAGTTTGGAGTGTGACTGTTTGAGGTTGTGGACAGGGGTCTTTTATACTGATAACAAGTTCAAACAGGTGCCATTAATACAGGTAACGAGTGGAGGACAGAGGAGCCTCTTAAAGAAGAAGTTACAGGTCTGTGAGAGTCAGAAATCTTGCTTGTTTGTAGGTGACCAAATACTTATTTTCCACCATAATTTGCAAATCAATTCATTAAAAATCCTACAATGTGATTTTTCTGGATTTTTTTTCCTCAATTTGTCTGTCATAGTTGACGTGTATCTATGATGAAAATTACAGGCCTCTCTCATCTTTTTAAGTGGGAGAACTTGCACAATTGGTGGCTGACTAAATACTTTTTTTCCCCACTGTACATAGGTATTCAGACCCTTTGCTCAGTACTTTGTTGAAGGACCTTTGGCAGCGATTACAGCCTCGAGTCTTCTTGGGTATGACGCTACAAGCTTGGCACACCTGTATTTGGGGAGTTTCTCCCATTATTTTCTGCAGATCCTCTCAAGCTCTGTCAGGTTGGATGGGGAGCGTCGCTCCACAGCTATTTTCAGTTCTCTCCAGAGATGTTCGATCAGTTTCAAGTCCGGGCTCTGGCTGGGCCACTCAAGGACATTCAGAGACTTGTCCCGAAGCCACTCCTGTGTTGTCTTGGCTGTGTGCTTAGGGTCGTTGTCCTGTTGGAAGGTGAACCGTCAGCTCTACCGACAAAACCTTCCACCTCTTGGCAGGTGTGTTCCTTTCCAAATCATATCCAATCAATTGAATTGACCACAGGTGGACTCCAATCAAGTTGTAGAAACATCTCAAGGATGTTCAATGAAAACAGGATGCACCTGAGCTCAATTTCGAGTCTCATAGCAAAGGGTCTGAATACTTATGTAAATAAGGTTTTTGTTTTTTATAAATTACCACAACAAAAAACTGTTTTCGCTTTGTCATTATGGGGTATTGTGTGTAGATTGATGAGGGAAAACATGAATTTAATCCATTTTAGAATAAGGCTGTAACGTAACAAAATGTGGAAAAGGCGAAGGGGTCTGAATACTTTCCGAATGAACTGTATATACAACGCGTGTGTAGCCTACATGATGTTATTAATATGGACAAAAGAGCAAGATTATTTGTATTTGTCAAACGGCAGCCAAGCATCGATGATCATGTCACCAGAATAAGAACCTCTGTATTTTTTGGAAAGGAGCATCAAGCTCATCACCTTGCACTTTCACCACCCTGTAAAGTTCATAATAACTTATTTCACCTTTAGCCTAATAAACTGCATGCTTTCCCAAGTCATAGTGGGAGGACCACACAACATGTCATCGCATGACTTCAAGTTTACTTCGATATGATGGTTGCTATATCAATATTTGTGCTTAAAAGAGTTTCCACTGCCATTTCGCGCATCATTAATTTTACAGACACAAAAAGTTCCCACCTTGTCTAGCGTATTTAATTTTGTCAACATTTGGAAAGTTGACAGACAAATTTGCTGTTTCCATCAGGCCTGTCATAAAATGTTTTATCCAACATGTATTTTACTCGCATGAAAAGGTTGGATGGAAACTTGGTTACTGACAGTCACTCAATTAGCCATGTCAGCTAACACTTTTTAGATAAGCTCGTCTAGCCAGTTATCTAAACTTGTAGTAATCATGGCTGAATACCGACCGTGCATGCAGTGCACATGCCCAGAGGTCCTGACCTCCAGGGGGCCTCCTTTTGATTTTGTTAGTCACTCTCACTGAGATATCATTAACATGGCATAAGTCATGGCAAAATGTGTAGAATTGCAGGGAATTAACTTTCTCTCGGCCTCCAAGAGCAGGACGACTAAAGTGTTTTACCCATGTGGGCCCCCTACCTCCTCCCATCTGATGATTAGCAGAGTGGCAGAAGGCTGTCTACATTCATTGAGAGCTGCCTCCTGAGTCCTCCTGTGATTGGTGGTTGCAGTAAAAAAAATTATATATATTACTAATATATATACTGTATATATGTCCTCTTTTGCCTCTTGGGCCCCCTACAAGCCTGGGCCCAGAGGCTCAAGAAATGTGATGTTTGAAATTAAATAGGTTTGCTAATATGGATGGCTACAACTATCAAACTAGTAGTAGTAGTTTGAAAGGATACAAAAAAAAGTGGTGCACATTATAAACTATCGTTCTATTTATCGTTATCACATAAATTCATGCAATTTATCACAATATGGATTTCTGTTTATATCGCCCAGCTCGAGTTTGGAGTGCTACGGACTATAGCTAGATATGTGTGTCATAGTAGGTTTCTGCCAGGTGTTGACTATTTGCTGGAGCCTCCCATTATGATGAGCAGATAGAGGAAGATATTAATGATGTCCAGGTACAGGATCAGGGCAGCAAACACATACTCCTCTGGATCCAGAGCATACTTCTGCCTGCCCATCACCAGCTGGCAGTCAATCGCCAAGAACTGAGGGAGAGACACAGAAAGGGAAAAGGTGATGGAAGGAAGAAAGGGTTTAGGGTGCAATGGAGGTATTGATTCTGGCTATAAGGCTGGATAAACAGAAAGGGCCTAAAAGGAGAAGTAACATTGAGTGAGTTCCCTACCAGTGAGAAGAGCAGGGCTCCCAGAGATCCGTAGACTATCTGAAGCACATTGGAGTAGAAGAAACAGCAGAAGAAACTGAACATGAGAAGGTCCACTGCCAGCACCAGCATGATGCCATTACAAAGTGTGAAGTCCACTCGAGTCTACAGACCAAAGAGAGGAGAGTGAGTAAGGCTAGATAGGCTTGGTCACTGGTCAGCCTGACCACATTAAACACGTGGTAGGTACTAGTGGTCCAATTAAGCATAATGTTTTTTGTTATTTGAAAAGTCTGACCTGGGCTGAGAAGATGATGATGGTGAAGGAGATGGCCACTGTTGCTCCCATGGCGATGACTACAGCAGTGGTGTCATGAAATGAGGCCACAGTGCCGACCAAGTAGGATAGGGTGAGAGTGACCACTGACTAGAGGTAGGACACACCATTACACAGTTAGAATACCACTCACCCAACCCCAAATCTCACTGTACCTTGTCTATGTGTTTAAGTGGTGATGGAATCAAAGCAAGATCAAAGACAGTTCTCATTAGTCATGTAACTAGGTTCTAGGTGAATGGCTTTGGCATTAACCAACAGGGAACTGTGAATACAGGAAGATGCATGTATAACCATCACAGGTAAGTTCACTTTTTAAATGTTTGTGAACATCTAAAGAACAATTGCATAGTTTATATACAGTATATCAGCCAACAGATTGGTCCTCTGTAGCTCAGTTGGTAGAGCATGGCACTTGCAACGCCAGGATAGTGGGTTTGATTCCCGGGACCGCCCATACGTAAAAATGTATGCACGCATGACTGTAAGTCGCTTTGGATAAAAAGCATCTGCTAAATGGCATATAAAACAGATGAACCTGGAGCTCAATTCAATCTAACCCACACTTCAGTATTTACTCATTGACTGCGTTAGCCAGTTTGTCAGTCGCTGCTCTAGCTAGCTGTGAAGGGGTTGTGTTTGTGTGTCTGTGTGTGACCTACCAGTCCCACCAGGTTCCAGGGATGGCTTCTGCTAAAGGAATTGCAGTAGCTAAGGCAGATGGCAACCACAGCAAACAGGATGTATGAGCTGAGGTAGATCCAGATGTTGCTCTGCACCGCCACCCTCACCACACTGGAGAACGTGAACACACACACAATGCTGAAGGTCACCAGCAACTGCAGGGTCACGACACTGAACACCTGCACAGGTAGAAAGACAGGGTTACCATTAGCCACTTTGTTTGGAAGGTATACCTTGGAGGTCACCATGAAACTAGGGGGGTCAAAGACTAAGGGCTCTATTCAATGCATAGCGCTGAAGTTCCACATTGTAGCCCGATTTACATTTAAAGGCAATGTTCCCATGTTAGCAGACACTGCATATGTCGACTAAATTGGAAATTACCTTTCCATTTCAAGCGCGCTATAGCGCTGAACTTCGGCGATACAGATTGAATAAAGCCCCAAATCTCTGAGACATATCAGTACAGACCTTTCGGATAAACCCCTTCCTTATTGTCTTGTCATCAAAAGATGACACCAATAGGGCGGGCGTCTGCCTCTGGTGGAGAGGATCCTTTGTGAGTGACAGAACAACAGTCCCATGTTATTATTGGACCCATGTTATTGGACACAACATTGGAATACTGTAGTGACCAGACTTTGCAGACTTTTCAGTGGTCATGTAACACAACAAGTGAATTTAGCGGACATTAATTATTAAAGCAGGCATTTAAAAAATGTCATTAAAATGTTATAGTAATTGGCAGTAATACGAGGAAAGATATTAATCCATCCGCATGATCGATTCCCCTCTTTCCTTGCTATAGCAGGACAGCACAGATAGATACCTGGCTCTCCCACAGGGTTACACTCTCCAGGTGGGAGGGTTCCCATATCCACCCCTGCCTGTGGTTGGTACAGGACTGGGGGGTAGGGGGATGGAGGATACATGGCTGGAGCTGCAGAGTATGGAGGTGGCATGTATGGTGGCGTGGGGTCCACTTGGGCCTCCCCATGGAGGTAAGGGGGTGGCAGGTTGGAGTTCAGGGCATCCTGAGACTCTGTGGGCATGGGGTAGTTCTGAGCATCTGTCATTCTGGCAGAGAGCGTAGTCTGAAAAGGAGGAGTGGTTAGAAGAGACTGATGTTAAAAGGAGAATATAGAGGATGTTGATATCAAAAGGTCAGTAAGAAAATAGTGTGAAACTTGAATTTTGAAAGTGAAAATGTGTTGCAGGCATATTGCCTCATTGGGGAGGTTTCCACATAAGGAGAAACCTGGGTTGAGTAAACCATATACAGTAGAAGAAATATAACAGCCATGTATCTGAACAATCATGCAACAATAACATCCTTGCATTTATGACCAATCCAGCTTACTGTGTTTGTTATTACCAAATAATGTTTTATATTAGTGTACTTACTGATACGTGGTTTTGTCTGTGTGGGAATGCAGTTCTCAGTTGCAGGAATCAGAAGTAGGTCAACCCACTGCGACAGAGTTCAGCGGTGAACACAACTAAATGACAACTGGAAAACTAAGCCCAAAAAGCAAGTGAAATCACTTTTTGCTGTATCATTTATACAAAATTAGATCAAATGATTGTGTTGTCCAATTCATCATCAGATATACAGTACCAGTCAAAAGTTTGGACACACCTACTAATTCAAGGGTTTTTCTGTATTTAAAAAAAACTATTTTCCATATTGTAGAATAATAGTGAAGACATCAAAACTATGAAATGACATATGGAATCATGTAGTAACCAAAAAAGTGTTAAACAAATCAAAATATATTTTATATTTGAGATTCTTCAAATAGCCACCCTTTGCCTTGATGACAGCTTTGCAGGCCTGATTCACACAGTCTCCTCTGAACAGTTGATGTTGAGATGTGTCTGTTACTTGGACTCTGTGAAGCATTTATTTGGGCTGCAATTTCTGAGGCTGGTAACTCTAATGAACTTATCCTCTGCAGCAGAGGTAACTCTGGGTCTTCCATTCCTGTGGCGGTCCTCATGAGAGACAGTTTCATCATAGCGCTTGAAGTTTTTTGCGACTGCACTTGAAGAAACTTTAAAAGTTATTCAAATGTTCCGTATTGACTGACCTTCATGTCTTAAACTAATGATGGACTGTCGTTTCTCTTTGTTTATTTGAGCTGTTCTTGCCATAATATGGACTTGGTCTTTCACCAAATAGGGCTATCTTCTGTATACCCCCCTTACCTTGTCACAACACAACTGTTTGGCTCAAATGCATTAAGGAAAGAAATTCCACAAATTAACTTTTAAGAAGGCACATCTGTTAATTGAAATGCATTCCAGGTGACTACCTCATGAAGCTGGTTGAGAGAGTGCCAAGAGTGTGCAAAGCGGTCATCAAGGCAAAGGGTGGCTATTTGAAGAATCTCAAATATAAAATATATTTTGATTTATTTAACACTTTTTGGGGTACTACATGATTCCATATGTGTTATTTCATAGTTTTGATGTCTTCACTATTATTCTACAATGTAAAAAAAATTGTAAAAATGAAGAAAAACCCTTGAATGAGTAGGTGTCCAAACGTTTGACTGGTAGTCTATCTTATTTCATTTTTTTGTCCAAACTGGCACATACTGTGTGTCATCCACAACAGCCTGAGATCTTTGACAACCCCAAAATTCTGTCATCTGGTTCAGTCAATGAATTGGCTGTGTTTACAAAGGCAGTCCAATTCTGACTCCCCCCCCCCGTAATTGCTCTTATGACTAATCACATCAGATATGGTTCCAAGTCAATGAAAGTAGTAGACAAAACAGGAGATTACTTACCTTCTTTATACCTGGGTTTCACTTGTATTGAACTTCAATGACCGTACTGTCCTTCCTGTATAGTGGAGTGTTGATGTAGCATACACACAGACTGCCAGTTGCTGCTTGACTCAGACAGACTGTGGAATGTCTACCTTTAGCAGCCTGTGCCCATTTGTGTTATTTCCTGAACCTAACGGTCACTGACAGTGATTAGAGGAACTTAGCTGCGTTTACAACAGGCAGGCACTGAATTGGGCTGCCTGTGTAAACCCAGCCTGTGACAGAACAAACCAATATACATGTGTCAGTTTCTGCAGCTTGGGGAAATGGAAAACCACAACGTTTCTCCACTGTTCTTTTTCCACAAATGTAGTCAGAAGGGGATGTACTTTAGTCGGGTAATTTTGTTTCTACAATCACGTGTAGTTTACAGAGTAAAGTTGTGTACTAGAAGCCTAAACAACAGGAAATGCAGTAACGTAATCCGGTGCTCGTAAAGGATTGAGTAACCATCTTTGGTAAATCTAAAGAATGCAACAAGTAAGGAATATACAACATTGTGAAACTGACCCCCAAATTTCACATGGTTAAAAATAAGAAAAAACATGCTGCTTCTCCCATGTGCTTCGTTTACGGTG